GGGAGAGAAGTTAGAGAGCGCGTTTCACAGATCGTTGCGTTGGGTGTAGGTGAGTCGGCTCGTGAGGGAGGCCGTCAAATGGATGAAGTACTATGCTTGCAGATTTGTGTTTGGCGTGTTGTGCATCCGTCTTGACAGCACACACCAGAGTGAGACCTACTTCGATGGTTGTGGAGTACTGGATCTCGCACTAGTTAGAGAGCGCGTTTCACAGCTTCTTCAGAGCCAAACTCGTTCGTGGTTGTTGGCGTTGGGTGTAGGCGAGTCGGCTCGTGAGGAAGGCTGTCAAATGAAGGCCTATGCTTGTAGACTTGTGTCTGGTGTGTTGTGCATCCTTCTTGACAGCCCACATCGAAGTGACATCTGCTTTGATGGAAACGTTAATGACCTTCTGACGACGAACCTCTTGCGGACCTTGCCAGGCTTGTCCGAGTGTGAGTGTCAAAAAACCCTGAACACTGAAACCCTGAACCCTGAACTTAGAACTTCGACCCTTTGAGCCACTGCAAACACTCGCAAAACCCAAAACCTCAATCCCAGAATGAACAAATATCCCAAAGCCTGAACCAAGTTCTAAAAACACCTCCGGGAACCGGAAGGTTATAAATTCCCTCATACGTATAACTATAGTATAATACACCCCGAAACCCAATTCTAATTATTCCGGCCCCTATATTGCATTGGCCCTTCTTTGCTTCAGAAGAAGCTCCTTGAAGGCACCCGGAAGTCTCGCGAGTCTTTGGCTCCGTCTCCTGGGATTCCTCGAGAGCTCCAGAGCAGCTTCTCGGGCTGAATACTGTAGGGGCCCAAACAATTACCTATACTATTTTTGGGGTTCCTTGTTATGGCTATAGGTATACTGGGCCGATTTATTAAGGCCCCTACAACAGTTGCGTTTTGGGGTGTGTGTGAGAGAGCTAGAGGGAGCGAGCTAGAGACAGAGAGAGAGAGAGAGAGAGAGAGCATGTGTACCGCCACCCGCTTTCACAACCCCTTCAAAGCCGCATATCATATGGGGGCCGGATCTTGCACATCCCCCATGCCCTGTGGCAGAAGCGGCAGAGAGAGCGAGAGAGAGAGAGAGAGTTGCTTCCATAACACATGGGGGCCCATGAGGCCGGGGGACCTTTTTAGTCCGTCATGCCCAGTGGAAGAAGAGAGTTGCTTCCAAAAAGGTGGACCAACCAGCCCCTGATAATGGGAACCTACATTTAGTCCGGTACTCAGTCTTGTGATCATGTTGTCCGGAAGGAATACCGCCAGCCGTAGGGTTCAGCAAGAGAGGCTTGGTTGTTGCAGGGACGAAGGACTTAGCCATAGAGGGGGGGGTGAAGAGGCCGGGATGCGGGGTAAAGTTCAAAGAGGGTGGCTTTTGCAACAACCAGCCGCTCCCGCTCTGGAGTGAATACCACTCTGAAGACCCCAAAGCCTTTTCCCTCAAAATCCAGAAAGGGAAGGGGGCGCGTTGGCGGGGTTTGCGTGAGCAGACCTGGATCCGGCGGAAGGAAGGAAGAGACAGACAGACAGACAGACAGACAGACAGGCAGGCAGACAGACAGTCAGACAGAGACAGATGCAGAAAGTCGTCCCCCGCGGGGGTGCGCCCTCCAGCCCTGTGAAAAGAGAAAGAAAGAGAGATAAGGGGCGGAGGTCTTGTTCTTGTACGGTTTTGGAAGTTTAGGATTTCGGTTTCAAGGTTGAAGGTTTGATTGTCGACAGGGGAGTTCAGTGCGTTAGAGGTTTTCGTGCTTGCGAAGATTCAGGGTGGAGGGTCTGCAGGCTTCGGCGGGTCAGCAGCGGGTCTTAAACAGCTTTGGACTTCGCTCGAATCAACCACAGCTAAACAGTCTAACGTGTTGTAGATGGACGTGCTATTGTGCAATTGTTAAGGTGATACTCTGTGCAAGTATTCAGTCAGACTCAGACACATAAGTAATGTGATTGAAGTATAATTATCAAGACTGAAACATACAGGATAAGGTAGGAATACGAATGATACCACAAGAACAGTCCTCACACCCAGACAGTCATTTATTTTAGTACTGTGTATCATATACATATCCGTACTAACCTCAATATTGATCGGGAATCGACGTCTGACATTCAAGAACTTGGAGATGTTCCGATGTTTCTAACTGCCCTGCAAACTCAATCCTCCAAGTTACGCCCCTTATTCCTGCACTTCAGCTACTTCCGTAGTCGTAAGCATCGTCGCCACCATTGTGGTCATCAGCATTAGCCACTACCAACATCACAATGATCATTATGGCCCTCAGTCTTGTGTCACAACAAGACCTGATTTACTCGTATCTGTCGCCCCGCTTTGCTTCTATTGCCCCTGACGACGACCAGACCACGGCGACGACGACGACGACGACCTCGCTGCTGCTGCACCTTGAGTCGTCGTCGCCCTTCTCCTCCTCCTGCTATTGCTATTGCTGATGCTGCTGCTGCTGCAGCCAGGATTGAAGGTGATCATGGGTAGTGTTGATCATGCCTTGGCCGTTGCAATTCAGTGCAGTGCGAGGCACGTGTTCTCCCTCTCTGCCGTGGCGTATCGATCCTTTGCAGCAGATCGTTCCTGCATTCCGCGATTGACTCCAGCCAGAGTCCTTTTCTTTTGGAGCGCTGGAACATTAAATGTTGATCAAGCAGCAGAGACTACATCTTGTGCCCACAGGAGACAGGGCCCTGTAATCTTCAATGGGTGCGGTCCAGATGGTGTGGAGGTTGGGGTTGGACCCCGGAAGTTGGATCCAAGTCCAAACATTATGCAGCCAGCATACAGACTCAGGATCCTCACGGACAAAGAACCTTGGCAGATGCCGAAGAATCTCATGCAAACGGAGGGATGAAGTAGCTTCAGAAACCCAGGCTAAAAGCCCGATGCTGCATCTCATACTCTGTGCCCCTAACCGAAAATCTCTGTAATCCTCTTCCGGGTGTTTTGGGCTTCAGGCTCTCGGATGCGGGGTGATGGCTTCAGCGTTCCGAGAAACTCCCCTCCACCGAAAACAAGGTCCCGAGGAGGGCAAGCTTGGGCTTTAGGCGTAGTCCGTTTGGAGCCTTGCGACAAGGCAAAGCGAGCTCCATGATCGAGAGGGATCGGCAGCTGCAACTGGCCAGCATTGTAGTGCCGTCACCTGAACAGTAGGAATGGTGTCCCGGCCCCTGCTCGGAGACCGGAGGGTGTTTGGACTCGCAGGCTCGAGATTTTGGCAGTTCGCACCCGATCTCCAAAGTCTAGTTGGCCACGGCCGAGTCCGATCGGCTTTACAAGGGGAGCTCAGAGCTTGAAAGTTCGACAGCATCGGGTATTTTGTACGCGAAAGCTTCGAGTCTAAGAGTTCGATAGGTTCAAAGCTGGGAAGTTCGAAGGCCCAGAGAACCCAATACCCGCTCATTAAGGAATAGACCCTAAACCATATCATTAAGGCCCCGATAATTTTAAAGTATATTCCTTAGTTAAGGTGTATTGGGTTCTCTGGGGGGATGACAGTTCAAAAGTTTTAAGTTTGTTGAATTTGGTCGCTTCTTCAGCTCGCGGCTCTAGTGATCGTTCCAAAATGGAAGGTTCACAGGTTGCGAGTTCGAAGGATTTAAGGTGTGAAATCTCGAAAGATTGAAAGTTCCGCCTGCATTAAAGTTCCGCAGATCGAAGGTGCGATCGGCTGGAAGGAGGAAAAGTTTGAAGATTTCAACCGGAGAGAGCTCTGTAGTTTGACGCCAAGTTCGAGGTTTGGACGTTTTCAGACCTCGAAATATTCAAACCTCGAAGGTATGAAAGGCTGAAAGTTATGGAAGACCCGACCATCCAACACCGACGCACGCCAGTCTCCGGATGCGAAGCGGGGCCAGTCCGCCAACTCCTTCTGGCCGAACACTTGTCTCTCCCCCACCTCCAAACCTTAAACCCTAAACCCNNCCCTAAACCCTAAACCGAAGCTCGGAGAGGCTGTTAGTTTCGCTCTTCACCGCAGCTTCTCAGCTGGACGGCCTTTGTACGTTGCACAAGCGGCGGAGGCTTGAACGTGTCCTGCTTGTCTCCCCATGGGCATTTTGCCATCCATACGTGATGCAGCCTTGTATGTATGTGTAATTAACCCTGGTTGTGTCTGCATACAGACCCATGGGCACTCAACTTTTCTGTTGGTTCTTCTCGGAACTTCACCCGGGTGAGGACATTCATGGCGTGTGTGCTTCGACAACGGTTTGTACGGAAACAGCGTGGAAGTGGAGCCTTTGGGGATGTCCGGACTGTAGAGATTGTCGCCAAGCCTTTCCCGATGTTTCGGGGTATGGGTTCCGGAGTTTGGGTTTCGGAAGTTGGACAGTGTGGCATCCAGTCATGGTGTGCGACCTGGCCCCCCCCCCCCCCCCCACGAAAATATGCAAAAGCATACATAGAGTGTTTCAGCCAGTTTGCAACCGTTTCGTTGTCACCTAACTACAACTCGTACCCTTACTTCAAGCAAGGTTTTGTTTAGGGTAGGGTATTTTGGCACCCCGCAGCTTTAAGCCCAAATACCCGTGCTCAAGGCATAGGCCTTTACACAGGTAAATGCGAGAACACCTCTCAAATTGGATGCTTGTAAAACGTACAATGTCAATCTTTCCGTGCTGCAAAGTTTCTGACTCTGAGACTTGGAAATGCCCTAAACTCTGAAGCTCCGAGTCTTGCAAACTTTCGATTGATTGGAAATGGAAGCTATCGACATTTCAATCATTCAATGGTTTCCATTGTTGAGACTTTTGGAGTTTTTCGAAACTTCAGACTCGAACTCAAACTTTCAATCCTCACCCTCTTTAACCTCGAAAACTCGAGCCTGGGAGGCCGAGGACCGACTTGCGTTCTCTCCCACCTCCTCCGTCGCATGGTGCATGTGGCTGCGGCGCCTTGAAACTTTCCAAGTGCACTCCCGTGCAAATGTCCAAACTCCAAATTTCAGGCTCCAATGCGAAATGCTCAAACATGCTCAAACATGTTCATCAAACTCTCATTAAAAAGCACTCTTCATTCTTCAAGCTACCCAAGCTAATCTGGGTCGAAGCCCGGGCCGGGACACTAAGGCAGAAGGAAGCAAAGGCGTCTCTTTACAGGCCTTGCTGTTGTGTCGGAGAGTCCGGGGAACGGGGCGGGTGGGGGCCAGTAGAAGTCGCTGCAGTTTTCACTTCTTCTCAGCTTGAAACTTTTTGGAGCGACATTGCTCGGGTTCGGCTAGGGATTGGAGTATTCGTCGCAGGATTGCACGATGCGTGTCACACTCGGATGGTGCATTACCTACTTCATTATCTCGAGACTTGACTTGCCTCATGGAAGGCATGAAACATCTTGGAAGCAGCTTTGGGGTGCTTCTTCCCGAATTTCCCTTCATGAGGTGTCTACAGTAGACGCATGGTGGTCTGTGGTTGGTCAGGTTAGTCACGGTTAGTCATGAGAGCTTTATGCAGGCGCGTCTTACGGGTCGTTGTGCTGAGCCCAAAACCGTAAACCTACAGCCCAAACCAGAACACACAAGCAACATTCCCAAACTATAAACAACCCTAAACCCTAAACCCTGAACAACCCTGAACCCCAAATCCTACACAACCCTGAACGAGGAAACCCCAGTGTCGCCAGCGAATAGAAAGCTGAGCGCGAGGAGCCTGGCGTCCGACGAGCGATACCGCATGGCGGATGTCAGGCCACCGTTAAACTCTAAACACTCCTCTTGCTCAGCGTTTCGGATCTAGGGTTTAAGCATACCCAAAACCCTAAACCCTAAAGCCCTAATTACGGTAAAGGGGTTCGGTGGTTGGCGATTGCTTTGCGGACTTCGGGTTTGCAGATTTGCGGATCGACGGTTTCGGGTCTGGGGATGTCTAGGAGGGGTTTAGGGGTTTCGGGATGAAAAACGGGGTTTAGGGATCAGGGTTTAGGCATTTCTGGATTTCGGGCTTGCCTTTGAAGCGACGCGCGCCCGGTGGGCCGCACTCCGCGCCACAGCTGCAGTAGCGGACCCCCTCCGATCACGTGAACTATCTGGTGCTTAGTGGGGAATGAGGGAATGGGTTATAGGGACTACTATAAAGGACCTTAAGGGACTATCATAGGGATCCATTCCCCCAGTATTCCCCCATTCCCTGCAGAGCACCAGACAGTCAAGTTTCGGATCCGCACGGTTGAACATCCCCCCAACATACCTCCACTCGAACAAAGAAACCTCTAAACCCTAAACCCTGCCTTAACTATAAACCCTAATATGGGACTTATAGGGGCCCTACAAGAAAAAGGTAGGTTCTGGTGGGTTAAGGTGGACCCTAAACAAAAAAATCCTAGAACCCTAAAGCGTCCTTAAACTCTAAACCAGAGACCCTAAACCCTAAACCCGTCAAGGAAAAAAAAGGCCCCTCAAAAGTCTTTAAAGTCCCCGGCCGGCGAAAATCCCCGCAGGCAGCTGTCTGGTGCTTAGTAGGGAATGGGGGAAACCCTAAACCCTAAACCCTAAACCCTAAACGGATCCCTATGATAGCCCTTGAGGTCCCTTATAGTAGTCCCTATAACCCATTCCCCCATTCCCTACTAAGCACCAGACAGTATTCCCTAAACCCTAAACCCTAAACCCTAAACCCTAAACCCTAAACCCTAAACCCTAAACCCTAAACCCTA